TCAAATTTTCTCAGACTCAGTTTGAGTTATGGAAAATCTGAACACGCCATTCGATAGATCGCGTCAAGTTGTACTCGGAACACGAGTGGAACACTTGGAACATGCTCCTGAGCGAATCTTGGCAGGTTTTAGTAGATGGATGCAAAATGACCTATGGTGAAAATCTAGTATTTTCTGATTTTCTTGGATTTGGTTTGAGCTATCGGGAATCGGAATATACCATTCGATAGAGCTCATCGAGTTGTACTCGGAACACCAGTGGAATGTTTGGAACATGTTTCTGGGCGAATCTTGGCGGGTTTTACTGAATAAAATCCAGGATTTTTCTGGTGATACACTAGTATTTTTAAATTTTCTCAGACTTAGTTTGAGTTATGGAAAATCTGAACACGCCATTCTATAGACCGCGTCAAGTTGTACTCGAAACACGAATGGAACACTTGGAACATGCTCCTGAGCGAATCTTGGCAGGTTTTAGTGGATGGATGCAAAATCACCTATGGTGAAAATCTAGTATTTTCTGATTTTCGTGGACGGTGTTTTAGCTATCGGGAATTGGAATACACCATTCGATAGAGCTCATCGAGCTGTACTTGGAACACACCTTGGGACAGTTGGAACATGTTCCTGGTCGAATCTTGGCGGGATTTACTCGAATCTGGTGCTAACTTCACCTACGTCCTTTATAGAGTATTTATGAACTTCGTCTTGAGGAAAAAAACTTACTACTCTTCTCTTTCAGATAAAAAAAAATAGTCGGACAAAGCTTGATCAGTAAAGACATTATATCCATTTGTTAAGTGATCATGACTTTTGGGTCACCAGGTAGTTTTTCCAAGACAGAAAACGAAATTCTCTTCTCAATGCACACTGTTTTTCGTGTTCAACAAGTCAAAGAAATTAAAGACAGCAGAATAACGTTGTGGCAAGTGACACTTATACTTACTAGTAATAGTGATGACCAACAGCTCAATGCTCTTACCGAACAAATGCGAGAGGAGATCACTGGAACAGGGTGGCAACGAATGGATTCATTATTACATAAAATGGAGGACAACGACAAGGCTGAAAAAGTTTATATAATGTTACTCCAACAGGCATCTGAAGAGACCGATAAATCTTATTACTATAACGAACTTGGGCTGATCAACGATGTCCAAGGAGAATACGAAAGGGTGATTAAATTTCACGAAAAATCAGTCGATATTGACGAAAAATCTCTCCCTTCGAATCATTCCCACTTGGCTACTTCCTACAACAATATTGGTTTACTGTATCATAACATGGGTAAGTACTCAAAAGTACTTTCATCACACGAAAAGACGTTGAATATTTGTCAAAAAGTCTCTTCTACCAACGTATCCGGATATCGCAGCATCAAAAAGAAACATTGAACTTGTGAAAGAGAAAATGTAATTGACGTTTTTTCTCCTACAACTGATAAATTTTGTTCAAGCTTGAGATGTAATGATTAAGAGTTGATTTTTTCTTTATAATATTTTTATTAAAGCGCGCGCGACCAGAGATTCACACGAACTCTGTTGGGATAGTACAATGAACGATGCCGGCAATAGTCGAGCAAGCGTACATGGAATGCATGTCGTACGCACGAGATGACGACTATACAGACTTATTTGTGTGTTAGAGGCCTCTCCATGCACTCCTGTATGTATCAACAGGACGATGTATTTCTCTGACAAGACTACAAAACCAACTCACAGACTTGTATAAAAGGAGAGCGCAGCGCAAGTAACGATTAATGGTGATATTGTTGAATGAATGTTATCATTAAAACCAGTCGTTTTGAACTCTTTCTGTCGTTACACATTTCATACGAGTTACAACGGTTAAAATTTCTTCAAATTCTTAATGATTTTTGTCTCCGACATCCGTTAATAGTAAAAAAATATGAATCGAGAAGAAGAAAGAGTAAAAGAAGAAAAGCACATGTGATCGATTACTAATTGGGCGTCGTTACCATGCATGTAGAGAAACAAGAAAATAAAATGAACTATAACTGATTGTTTTGAGAAAACTTTTACTTTTTTTTGAAAAACTTGATAATGAAGAAATAAGATGAAAGATATTCAAAAAATTTTTCATAATATTTGTCATTGTTTATTGAATATGATATATTTATGTTAATGTGCCATAAACTCATTAGAAACATTTTCTAATACATTCACTATCACTGCACTTTATTATCTTTATGCATATTGGGTAGTTGAATATTCCCTGAGATATCATTACTTTGCTCATTTTTTATTCATTTGAGTATTCTGATACATTTCTTGAAATTAAAATTCAATATTCACTTAATCGATTTTTTTTCAATCGAAAACTCTTCTATTGAATTATAGTCAACTTTTGGTAACTTAAAGATGTTTTTATCTTCAATATCTTCCAACTAACTATAAAAGAGTTATAAATTTAGTTTATATTTCTTTTTGACATGGTAATATGGAATTCTTTTCGGATCTATTGATTCCATACGGATTTTTCCAATGATCGACATTCCTAGTTTTGCATTGCATTTAAGAGCCATATATGCGACCTCTAACTCAATCAACAAGTGCTAACGATTAGAATAAATATCGATTAACAATTTATGAAAAAAATTATAACGAATCGCTAGTTTACAAGCTAGATGAATAAACATAGTGTGTTTCAAATGTATGAATCAATTCTTCATTTTATCACACAAGGGAGGACAAATAAACATAGACATATATGTAAAGAACAGAAAGAGATCTAACTCTTATTTGTTCTTCTATTTAAATAGCTAACACAATGGTAAACACAGTCGTTACGTTTGGAAATAATCGAGTTTCATCAGATGCACCACTTCCTATCATAGTTAAAACTGATCATAAATCATCTTTACAACGACGACTTTATTTAATTATTGGAATTTTAATACTTATCATCATTTTAATTCCAACAATATTATCAATTGGAAAAGATCCAAATGATTTTGCTTTTCATATTCTTTTCATTGTTCATACAAGTTCGTTAATATTTTCTTTGTTAATATGTACTGATTTTTCTTCTTCATTTCTTTGTCAGGTTTTCTATTATTATTTTTCATTTCAAATGCCATATATAGAAGTTAGCTTACACTCTTTTCATATTTTTTTAATCAAATAATAATTTTTATAGATATCGGAGATGGAATAACAATAATACCTAGCCTTATTCTTTTAGCTATTTATAAAACGATTCATTATTTAATTCGATATCGTTATTGTCGAATTAATTTTCGAAAAGATTTTCTTGTTACAACGGTTTGTTTCATTGTTTTTAATCATTAATCAATGACATTCATCTAACTTCTATTTAGATTCAATTAACAATTATTTTAATATTTGTTGTAACATATATTCTTTGGACATATTTACTGATAAGAAATAAATATCGAAAGAAAATAACAAAACAGTATAGTATTCTTTTATATTTGCTTTATAAAATTTCTTTCATTTTTTTTAATAGAGCAATTCATTTTGTAACAAAACAAAAACGAATATTTTTCTCATTGTTAAGTCTTAATTTAATGCTAACAGTAAGATTAAATAATAATGATTGAATTTTTTATTTATTTCTTTTTATTTTAAAGATTTCTTCATTAATTTTAAATATACGTAATCAAGAAAATTTTGGTCTATACCAAATAATTATGCTCTCAGTTGGAATATCATTAGCTTTACTTTGGTGTACAATAGGAGTATTAATGGTAATAACAAAAAAAAACAGAAAGTCGAAAAAAAAAAATGTCTTATCATCATGAAGAAGTGTGCTTAATAACTACGCAAGTTTTTGAGCTCTTGTGTGAACGTAACATATTTTTCAAACGTGTTATCTCAGAAGGAATGATCAGAAATATGATCATAACTCGAGAAGAAAAGCTTGGTGGCACGAATTCTCTCAAAATTTTTATCTACACTATGAAAAAATATATGAGCTGTAACGAATGTCATAAGTTGAATGAGTTCCTTCGTTAACAAGGTTTAGCAAATAACTAATAATTTATTCAAGATTAAGAAACATTAGATATTATTAGGAATGCGAATGTTTAATAAACTCTTCTAATTGGGCATGAAGTCTTACACTAGAATTAAACATAACTGCTTTAAAAAATTACCCATATTCCTACATAAGTTTTCCTTATTGTGGAGCTTCTGTCTGTTGTAATTTTCGATAAATTGAAAGTATGAATGTCAACATTCAATTACCGTTTACTAGTGATACTCATTTACGAATCTATTCCATATGGTAAACCTTTACTTTTTACATGCTACTTGATATATGTGATTGAATCAATGTCTGCAAATTAAGATTTTGAGAGAAAATGAAATAGAAACCACTCTTCTGTAAAATATGCGACCAATTAACATCGACTAATTGTCATTTTTCCATTTATTTTAGGCGATGTTTCAAAATTGTTTATGTATAACATCATTCTATTTCTTGTCAATGATTCAACCATTTCATATAATTTATTTGATATTTCAAGCAATAAATGAATTACGTGGTTTATCAATTGAATATGAAATAAATAATTTTTTTCCATTATTAATAATTATTTTTGTTTGTGTTAGTACAAATTTTCTTGTTCATTTATTTACAACAATAGCTGGCTGTTGGATGATATCAAAAACTGATAAAACTATTATTAATTTTCGTTGGTTATTAGCGAATATTTGAATTTCTATTTTGTTTCTTTTCATTTTTTTTTTGTTATAGTGTGTTTAGAATGTTGCATCAGCTTGTCTATGCGTATTTTTCTTTTTGTTTCTAGATAGAGTAATGTCAGCTTCAATAAATAATGAACATAAAGAAAACGATCTTGATCAAAGTATAAACTATGATGAAATTGAACAATGCATTTCTAATGAAGATGAAACTCATGAAATTAATACAGAAAGTAGAATAACAATTAATTCATTAAAATCATCTGATGAAAGACTAGTATCACAACAACAGCAGCGTTCATCATCTTGTATTACAAAAGTACAGAATCTTAATCTTTCTCTAGAAAAATCTTCAGCAAATATTGAAGAAAATTCTGAAAATGACAATAATAATAAATCAAAAATATCTATATTAAGTGTTAAAACATCAAATATACCTGGTCCAGTTGGTCTCTTACCAATATTAGTAAGATTATATTTTGTTAATTCAATTATTTTAATTAAAATATAATTAAAATAGAAAACTAATGACGACTTACGACGTTTAAAAGAAGATAAAACGGCTCGTGATACATTGCTTACCAATGAAGAGAATATTAACGTTAAACGACCTAAAACATCATCTGATGTAAGTTAATTATAAACACTTCTTCTACTTTAATAACTATCAGAAATAGATCGAACTGTCTCGCGCCGATCACATGTCTATAGAGAACGTTGTGAAATTTTCCATGTCTCTATTCACACTGAAAGAACATTGAAGAAAACGATTTCGCACTTTCAAAATATGTTCATCAAACAAGAAAAGAAAGAGACGTGCGAAGCACTGGAAAGTTTCGTCTATCTCTGGTAACTACCTATTTAAGTTCATCTAATATCCTTATTCCAGTGATAATTCAATTCTTGATAATAACCCATAATTAAAGTTTCTTCTAGATATCAACATGTAATAAGATAGAGCTGCTATTACTTGAAATGAAAAATTATTAGAAAAATGTCTCACGATTAGTTAATAGTAATGTGTATTGATATGCGTAGAAGGGGTTAGTTATAAAAATCTTAAAGTACTCATTAGAATTTGTTGGTATATAATTACTAGTGTTTGTTATGAGACGTAAACAAGTGAAAAAAGTTCAATTTTCTTTTACTAGGATAGTATTTTGTATAATGCACAAATCAGACGCAAGGAGTACTCGGATTACACCATAAAATTTATCATCTCGACTTTTCTTTTGTGTTTAAGATGTCTTCAGATTTGTATCGAAATATGATTTGGTTTTCTAAACTGGTTCGCCGAGTGAAAAATATTTTCCATATATTCGAATAGATTTTTACTATTGCTTTGATTTCGTTAATGAGCACAGAAAAGATTGTTTCAAATCAAGATAAATGAATGATTCGTAATGATTATTGATCGGACAGTTAATAGAATGTTTAGTGAAAATCACGACTTTCTATACTTTCTATAGATTTATTGGCACACTTATAAAATCTAGCTCGACTTACATGAATTCGCTAAAGGTTAAATAAAAATCTATATATATTATTCTTTTTTTTTTAGCTTTTTAGTTTGAATATTAACAATTATCCATCATATACAATAGCTCTTAGACAATTACAAGAATCATTCAGTTGTGAACCAATCAGTATTCATACAGCACTTGTTAAAGTTCGAATAATAAATAAATCAATTTATTCATCATTTTTAATTTCATAAAACTAGGCTCGTCTTGGTATTAAAAAACGTATTCCACTTATGTGTGCAGCTGTAACACATTATGATCGACAAGAAAATACTATTCTATTAGATAAATCAGGTATAAACAATCTATCATTTCAATATGCTAACAAAGAAAAAACCTTGTTATTTTTCTTAGCTCATATTCGAGCAACATTCATCGGTGACGATGAAGTATTAGATAATTTTAATATTCGTGTTGGTCATACGCTTGTATTACGAAATGTAAATATCTATTTATTTTTGGAAATTTTCTTTCAAAATAATTTTATTTTCTATAGGTAGCAGTATTTACATCAACTCGTCATAGACATCATTATGTTAATATTCATTTACAAAATATAATAGCTATACAAGATCCATTAAGTGATTTATTTAGTATGCCATCCATGAGTCAAGAACATCAACAACAAAAAATGCCAAAATCAATATTACATTCAATTGAAAATGAAATATCAGCATACGCAGATTCATCAAAAACAAATAATGAAACTTTTCATATATTTTCACAATTTGATCATGATGATGATGAACAACCACCATTAAAAAAACTTAATACAAGTTTTAAATCATCAAATAATTCAGCTTTTAATCATATTAAACCAAATGTAAAATCATCATGTGCAAATAAATTTAAAGAAACTATTGTTGAAAAACCACAATCAGCTTTCAAACCTTCCATTCAACCACAAACTACATCAACATCAACTGTAAATAAACTTGCATCCACGACAGTTACTATTACTCCACCATCATCAACAACCGAAATCAATCTTCTTCAAATGATTGAGAAACCACTTGATATTGATATTAATCCAGAAGGTAATCTTTCATGAAATATATTTTAATTCATTCAAACTTTTTATTTCTTGCTTCTCATTAATAGATTTTGCTAACGATGAATTCTTTACAACATGGTAGTGATATTATATTTTCTTTTAATTGTGTGCAGATAAACTTTTTTCTCAGGTGTTGTAATTTCTTTTGTTGATTTTCTCACTGTGATTTATTTGTGTAATAATAAAAAGTTCATATAAATATAAAAATATTAGCGGATCAAATTCATCCTAAAATTCGACATACATCGAAAGTAAAAAATTAGTTTCTTATAATTATCTGTGTACCTAATGTGGTAAAGAAAAGTTCAACAACTTATTTTTTTCTATAATGTTAAGCACCCAGCTCAAATTCAGGTAGTGTTTTTAATAGTTACTCAAGTTTTCTATCTAATGCATTCTATACCAAGGCTTCAGACATAAACTATAATGGTAAGAATTCTAAAAAAAAACCAAACACGGTACTTTCATACAACTTTTTAAGGAAAGTCTTATGAAACTAACCTGTACAATTTTTTAGAAACTTTCACATAGAATATATCAGATAGGAAACTTCATTGTCTATTAAAAAATCAAAAATATATTGTTGTTAAAATTTTGTCTACATTTTAGTAAGAAGTAATAAAGAAAAAATGTTTAGAATAATAAAAAAAAATGAGTTATCTAAAACAGAATACAAATCACAAGATTTGGCTTTGATGAAAGTGCTTCGAAAAAAATTCAATAAACATTCGAGTATAATTGATATAAGTTTCAGCAAGATCTTGATTTTTATTAGTATCGTTTTTTATATGTTAAGAAATAGGACATGTGATAACTCTGAAAGGATTTATTGAGTTTCAAACCAATAACTACAACATGTATCTTCAAATATGAGCTTTTCGTAATAGGATTATACAGTGTTAGAGTCATTTTAAGAACAAATACTGTCATATATGGTTCTAAAGTCGAATAAATCATTTTAACAAAATTATATGTCGTTCGCTGCATTTTTTAATCCTAATAATTATTCTCAACAATTGATTCATCTACATTCACTACTGAGGAGACACTATGATTTACTGTTTTTCTTATTTGTAATGTTTATTAAAACTACTGAGTTCATTTGTTAGCATCATATAACACATTTTAACTGTACCAAAAGAGTATTCTAGTTGTGAAGAGTCAGGACTTATCTTAAATGAATCTCTCGTCCGTATTCTAAGTCAACTATCTTCTGTTATTCTTATTCCTTAGGTTTGATGTATGCATAACTATTGGAAATTCAATCGAAAAGTCTCGAGAGAAATAAACCATGAAAGCTACAATCACAATTCGAATCTTGATTTCAGAGAGACTAATGATACAGTATATATGACAAGACATCTGTTTAGATTTTTTGTGGACCTCATAAAAAACGAGAAATCGAGTAGAAATTTTGACAACACTTATCAATCTTTTATATTTATATCTAGTAACGTATTTTCTTTGTTATACAATTTTTTTATTTGTTAATATTTCATTAGATATTATTTCAATATTTTTCAATTCATCATCAGTTTCTGATTCACAACGTTGAAAAGTTTTAAGTACACTTCCTTGACTTTTAAAACCATGACGAATCTCTGTTAAACTTTCATTATCGTCATTATCAGCGGATTCTTCATCAGATGATGATTCTAATTGACATTGAACATCAAATGGTAAAGATTCTTGAATGTTTTGATCCGAAACAATATTTACTGATATATTATTTCCAGGTGTTTGTTTATTTGCAATAATGCTATTCACCTTTTCAATTAAATTATTTGGTATTTCTCGGTTTTCATTTTTAACATAACCAATAATAAAATGAGTTGGACTACCAATTGATTTCATTGGATTTTCTCTATATTGCCCGAAAGGTGTTGAGGGAGTTTTTAATGTATTATTGTCATTTATTACATTCGCTTTTGTTTGTATATCAACATCTTCAATTTGTGAACTTGTCTGTTGTTCTAACGATTGATTCAATTCTTGTGAATTTATATCATCATTTTCATCATTAGGATAATCAAAGAAATCAATTACTGCTTCATCAATAAATACTGTTCGAACATAAACACGTTCGTATCGACCAACAAGAACAGAAACAAGCATACCCATTGTTGCAGCACCAAATAATGCACATATACAACTGACTATTCGACCCATTGGTGTGATTGGTGTTATATCGCCATATCTAACATAAGATAATTTACATTAATAAAAAAAAAAACCTTTTAAACTTACCCAACACTTGCTATTGTAATAATACCCCAATAAGTTGCCGTAAAAATGGAATTAAATGTTTTATTTAGGGAACTATTTTCAACATAATAAGCAGTAGCACCCAAAAAAAATCCAATAGCAGTTATTATAATAATCATAATGAAAAAATCAAGTAATGATTGCCTTACTGTTTTTACAAATACATGTAATGATTTCACATTTTTAAATATTCGAACAAATTTAAAAACTTGTAATAGACGAATTGTAAGTAAAAATCGAAGACCAGCATAAGTATCTGTCTTGACTTTATCTTTTCGATCAGTCAAGTAAATACCAAGTGTGATATAAAAAGGTATTATAGCTATTAGATCAATCCAATTCATTAGAGTTTTTACAAACCTCCATAACGAAGGTGTAGTTAGTATACGAATTATAAATTCAATTGTAAAATAACTAACACAAATAGCTTGAATAAAAAAGAATGGTGATGTAAAATATGCGTGACAAACGTACAAGTCTTTAGAAGAGCTTTGATCTGTTCTATTATTTGTATAAGTAGGAGAAGTTGTATTACGTTGTGTTTCACAATGTAGACTATGGAAATCAGCATATTGTGGTAATGTTTCAATAGCAAGTACAATTGTTAACGTAAGAACCATGAGTATGGATATAATATGAACAATTTTTGCCGTTTTTGAATAATCTGGATATTCCATTATTGCCCATAGATATCTTCGAATAGGATTTTTTGGTAAGTGTAATTTTGTAATTACTGTTATATTTTCATCTTTTCGTAATTGATTAAAAGCTTCTCGTCCTAATTGAAAAAAAAGAACTTCTTCAAGAAATACATCAAGTGGAACATGATTTGGTCGTCTTAAACGACCATGTGATTGATAATAATAAAGTATGGCTCCAAAACATGCACGATGTCGATCAAAAAAATATTCATTACGATTTTCATCATAGTAATATTTACGTTGTTTATCATTTCCAAGTAATGTATTTGGATAAAAGTCAAGAGTTGTTCGATATGTTTCATAACGATCACCACAGATATTTATTCTAATGCGACCATCTAATGAAGTTTTCGCTTTTTTTTCTTGCTGTATTTGAGAATATATTGATCGAATATTAATCAAGCTTTGGACATTAACAAGATCACTATTGATAAATATGAATATAGGAATGAAATAAATATGTTTATTGATTATGTTAATGTGTTCTTAAAATAAGTCTATTGTCTGCAAATAATTATCCAAGAGCATTAAAGCATAAAAAAAGACTTACGAAATATGTGCATCTTTAATATTTAGATTTCGATTTGTAGTATTATTTGTCGCTGATTCTCTTTAAACAAACGAAATCAATTACTTGAAAATAAATTTACAGTGTATTTTCATACTCAGTTAAACTTGATAAACGTCGTGTTCGTCTTGTAGATTCAAGACCAGTTACATTACGTATTGCAGAAGTTCGACGAGTGGTCTTTGGTGGATCAGTGCTGTCCATACTTCTTTTTATCTATAAACATACATTGATAAAATAAACAAAGGCACAATGATCTTTATTCATGTATGACCCGTGTACCGATTTTTTTTTTAAATTTGCTGTCTTAGTATGACACTTAGAATAGCTTACAAGAATTAATGTAATCATTCACAGCTATTTGATTTACATAATCACGAGCAGTAATGATGCATAAAAAACGAAGAAAAATAAAAGATTCATAGGATACTGCGTTTAGTAGATGAAACATGGTAAAGAAAAGAAATTTAGAGAACAAGGCAAAATGAAGTAGAGACGAAACATATAAAAAAAGAGGTAAATGACATAAAAACGAGAAGAGTGAGAATGACAAAAGTAAAGGAAGAAACGAAAGAGACGGGGAGAGTAACAAGCAAAATATGACGGGTTTTACATAAGTGAAAACTTAAGCTACTAAGAAGCAATGATTGATATCTTGTCTGTATACGTTTCACTCGTTTTATTAGAAATAAATACCTAAGATGATAATTTTTACTTTTAGAAAATAACTATTAATAAAACGTAACGTTGTAAAAAAACGTGACCAGCTTAAGTCTGATTTTATTAATTCGTTGCAGTCTTTTCTTTATATACAGTTTTACATAATCTCCTAATGATTCTTCATTTGATATTTGAACGAGATCTATTGCACGAGTAAAAGAACAGTGTTGTACGAGTCTTAATCAATTTCTAAATTTTCTCAAAAATAATTCTTCTTGAGTTTGGAATAGGAAGGGAATTAATGGAAATATTTAAACGAAATAAGGAAAACTCGAGACAAAAACTCATTTTTGCACAACATCTTTTGACATAAGTTAATTTACTAAATGTTCTTTAAATGTTTTCAAACGTCTTATCAATCATCAGTCTTATAAACATCTTGTGTTCAAATAAAACGGAGGTATTCAAATTCTCTAACTACGTAGTTTTAGTTCATGATCATTTATGCATACATAAACTTCTATATTTTGTACTTGCGAGTGCAAAACTTGTACTATACTCCTTTTGGCCCAACTGATGGGCGTTGTTTCTGTTTCTTCAAATAATTTGCTCTTTCATAAAATATTTTTATTGTTTCTTCTTTTTAAACCTTAATCATTAGCGAATATCTGATTGAAATGAGCTGCTCCATATGCAGAAAGATCAGTATGAAAAATAATGAAATAGTTTTGCTTCATCTGAATTTACCCTGTTTGTGCACAATCATGAGGTACTAATCGATGTGGTTTTCCTGCAAATGTTGCCTTACTATCTTGTTCTTTTAAATCAGATGAATATTTAATCACTTTTTCACATGCACAATATGACGGATAATGATGACCATCATATTGGGTACAACGAACTGTGTTCGAACAATCATGTATTTGCCCATTAATAATTTCAGCAAGAGTAGTACGACAACAGGCATGTTTCAGATCGTGTTTATCTCTCATATGATCTAGACAACAGCAAGGAGGACAGTATGCCATTTGATTACCAATTAGACAGAGTTTAATAGTATAGAATTCTTAATTGTAAATGATATTAAATGTGTATGGCATTGTCAGCTAAGTAAAGTTTATAATCAATATCCTCTTTGATATATTCGTGAATGTATTGAAAGGATCATAATGGCCAACACGAACAAAGCACCAGGAACGAACGTCAACTTAATCACTGTGGTGTTGGTGATTTTGATTTGCGATGACCATTTATCAGTAGAAATTAATATTGCGTACGACTCTTTATTGTTTACCCCTAATTTTAATTCACTACCTGTATTACTGATGAATGAAAACACGACTAAGAATTTTTTGTTGTGTGAAAAACTCTTATATTATACTAGCTGATAATATGTCGGATAATCATCGGTCCTCTTAGTTCATTGTTGAACCATATTCAATTGAGAATCATGAAAAATTATTTGGAACAGCACGTTTCATCTGTTCAAGTGTAAGATCACATTGTTGCTGTTCGAAATCTTTTTGGTAGGTCTGATTGTACTGAAGATTATTATTCGATAAATTTGTGCAGTTCGGAGACATTGATAGGGGGTTTTTACCATTCTTTTTTTCTTGTTTTTCGCTCGATCAAACACGTTGTTATATTACTGCATGCGCGCTAGTAGTTGTACTAGAATCCAAGTTTCTATTGGACGTTCGAAGAGCAGATAATTCAAATAGGTCATTAAGCTGTTGAAGGTACCGAAAATGGATAACATATTGATGAGCATCAATTGTAATACTAGGGTTTTCACAAATATGTGTGCTCGTATCTTCCAAATTGTATCTAGCTGCTGTATTATTATTCCTATCCAACGTTTATTAATTGTTATTGGTCATAGATTTGATATAAGAGTTATTTGGCTGAAAGTTTGACAATGAAATTTTCTTATAAGAACAAGAATTACTGTGGGTCTTTATCCCTATTCGGGCAAGGACAGACGGATAACATCAAGGTAAGAATATAAGTAAACGTTTTTGCACTTGCTCTCTCTCGAGAGAGGAAAGGATAAAAAAAAGACGTATATCTATCGTTGTCAAATGTACAAAATATAGCAAAAAAAAACATTCAACAAACATTTTGTCATATGACACAGTTGAATCCTTTACGGATTGAAGCAAATGTAAAAATATGAGTCAGATTATTTTATACGCATTATGCTGATCATGATGATTTGATTTGGTATTATGTGATGATGTAAACGACATTAATTAAAATTTATCTCATGTAAGTTTATCACTCAATCAACTGACTTTAAAAAATATTTAAAGAAATCGAATGTATTAAAAATGACATCGATAATATATTCTTTTTCGATTCTTTGATTTCCAGTGATCTTTCAAGATACTCAAAGTATACAATTTTAGTAAGACTTTATTTTTTATATTTGCTAAGCATGATTGAATAAAACTCATCGAGTTCTATAAGTACATGTCATGTAAAATAAGTTTTAATTACTATTACATTATCAGAATGGTTCTTAATATTACTTTAGAAGATTATTTGAATAGGAAAAAAATCGATTATATTCAAATATGAATCAAGTTCGCAAGTTATCATAATAAATCTTTATGAAAGAGCATGAGTGCTAACTCGGAAAAGAAAATTTTATAAGAGTATCATCTCGATTGTTTTAAAAATACTTGATAGTTTTTCTTTTATACAATATAATTTATTGTATGATATTATCCCGATGGGTAATACTTGAATAATTCTTTTTGTTATGTATTTTGTGCTATTGTGAGATTAACTAACACTTTATTTTATTTTTTGAATGTGATATTTACACACTTCGCCTCGTTTTCTGAGTGTCTGAAGTTGAATGAATTCAGAAGATATCTGACGAAGAGTGGAATATCCTCTAGGTTTCTCATATTTCAATCAAGAAATTTGAAATATATCAATTAGAATGTCCGCTTCATTATGTTGATGCTGTTTTTCTAATTTCTCAAGTCTTTGAGCAGGCAACATCTATTGAGATAAATCTAAAAATATGAATGAAACCTTTTTTTTTTGCGTTAAAACAAAACTCTATAATCAATTGATCTAGAATTGCTCTAGTTAAAACAAAAAAAAAACTTTTCTTTCTTCTTTTCTGTCGAACTTATCATAAGACTCTGTTATCAACTTCTAAATACTTATTATTCTTATCATTTATTTGTACTCTTAAAAATTCACATAAATATTTTTATTTTCATTTTCTTGCACGTTCTAACAAATAATTCAACAATGTCGACTAATAAGTTTTCAAATTTTTGCTTGTTTCTTTTTGTTTTTTTCCTTTCTACCCAATTAACGTCAACACTTGTTTGTTTTGAGTGTAACAATTGTGATAATATAATATCATGCACATGTAATAATACAGTTAGTGTTGATGTCAAAGCTTCATATTGTATTCTTCTACGAGAAAGTTTACCAAATGCAGTCGATATTGAAATAAAACATATTTCAAGGAATAGTACAACATATTATATATATGATCCATATTATATATCAGTACAAGAAACGATTTCTTATGATGGAACAATGCGACGTTGGCACAGTAAATCAAATAAAATAACTTATGCATGCCAAACAGATGGATGTAATCGACCTGATTTAATAAAACAATTACCTGCAACAGGTTTATCATTAATGTTACCTAGTGATTGGCTGGATGAAAATCTTCAGCGTAAACCAGACAAAATCACGACATTATGTCGTGACTGTGAAGGTGAAAGTATATGTGATGATACAACAGATTTGGTGAATATAAATAAGTGTACGATAAAAGAATGTCAAGGTTCATGTTTTATGGGTGAAGCATATGAAATAGCTGAAACGACTCAATTTTGTCATGAATCATTTTGTTCAGATGATACGAGCATTGGTCCGATAATACAATTACCAGAAATTGGAATTACTGCTGTCTATTATATAAATAAAAAACAATTGGAAGTCGTTGAAATTGATGTTAAATGTAATGCAGATAATTGTAGTCGATTAGAAATATTTAAAGATATTAAAGACAAATTACAAAAAAATCTTAATGGTATTCAACCATTTTTACCACCAGAGCCAACGGTAACATCGGAGCCAACGGTAACACGGGAACCAACGAAAACATCATCACCAACGCAGCCAACGAATCATAGTAATGCGATTTATTTAACATCAATTATATTTCTAATGATGATATTTTTACAAACACTGATTTTTTATTGAAACAAAAAATATTTTAAAGAAATATTCCCTTCACTTTTTTAATTTGGTCCATGTATGTACTGTTTAGAAAGAAAAGTAAATAAACTTGCATAATATGTATTCATTTTTTGAATTTCATCTTGGCTATATTAAAATTATACAAAGAAAGATGATTGAATCGACACAACAAAAAATACCTTGTCTTTTAAAAATTGATAAATTCTCAGTCGTAATTTAAAATTATTGAAACGTTAACAAAGGTTATGTTGTGTAAATCGAAAAATAATAAATTTTCATTAGTTAAAAAGTAATGATACAGTTCATATATGTACGAAAAAAAAACGAATCTCAGCATCCTATGATCCATGGCTAATACGTATATTGTTGTTCGTCAATAAACATCATTCAATGAGCATTTTTTTTTTCATAATTGTCAGTAGTAAAACTTTGCTTATACAGATGATGAAAGTTTGAGAGGAAATATTTTGTAATATATTTATCTGAGATTAGAGACGTATTGTTTGGATACTGGTATTCATCAATATGTCAATGAAATATAACAATTATTTTAGTTCTTGTTTCACTAATAGAAAACCAGTTAGTTTTTCATATTGCTACAGAACTTTCAAAAACAGTAACTTGAATCTAAGTTTCTTTTTTAAAAGCTATTCTTGGTCGTTAGAGTAATTCTTAAACGAACCGATATGTTCTTTCGAGAAGATTTTTCAACAGAACTATTCGAACATTGCTCAGCTAACTCAAACGAATGTCTTGTACAAATTACAGACATGAGTGCGTGAAGATGAAGTTGATCGACTCAAAATTCAGATGTTCCTCATTCTCATTCGTAACCAAAGTACACCTTCTAGTCATCCTTACTAACTCTTAGCATTAGAAAGATCGCACTTCGGGAGCAAGTTTTATATATGAAAGTGAGAAAAAACATGATATTCAATCACTAGATTGTGCAGGAATGTTGCCTGAACTTGCATTGCTAGTTCACCAATTCATTCTTTCTTGTGTTTTCGATCAACGTGTTAAAGAAATCAATTGTCGGATGAGTTACTATGCAATCCTACCGATAGTTTTCATAAAACAGACACACATTCGAACTTCTTATTGATGGACGATTGTATGATGTTGAATCAGTTATAGGATCCTAGATAATAGTTGTCAATAAGAACTGTATCCATGAATGCAATGATAAAAAGAGTCTGTTGTCTACCGAGCTCTTATTCGTTCATTTTCTCAATATAATACATAAGTTGATTAGTTTTCCTAGCGATTTTCTATTGTCGGAAATGAATAAGGTGCTAAATGATATTTTACATTTTATTTTGATCATGAGTCTTTCGACAAATTTCCCAGTTATTGCCAAATTCTCACACGAATTTCTCGAAACATACTAACTTCATGCTAACTTCACTCTTCGTAAGACATCACACAGTTACAAATTATCAAAAGTTCCATATCAAATAAAACAGTGTTCGCAAAAGCCATTAGTGGTTCCTGTCTATATCAGGTTGTGTTTTCCGCATTGATACGCATCTAAATCAAAACGATTATGATACGTTGATAATGAGTGTTGAATTTTTAATGCTTAAAGTTATATACATATTTAGTGCGTGACATTAAACAAATTTTTGAAAAACTTCCACTATAACTCTACAGAAAATTTCAAGAGCACTATTCACTTAAATCTAGAACTTTATCCAACATTCTTGTGAAAATCAGATAAAACTGCATTGTAAAGATTCTTAGTTTTGTTATTTATGATAATCCACATCGATATTTTATTACATCGATTAAATCTGGAAATTCAGTACATAAGAAATGATTGCGATCATTGAATTCATGATATGTACTTTGTACTTCTTTGGCTATATGACGGCTACTATCAACTGGTGTGAATGGATCATCAGAACTATGAAATTGCTCAATCCATTGTGCATTAGCTTTTATTTTCTTCCAATTCCAGAGTTGATCTGCGTCATGATCATAGTAGCCAGCTGATACTAATATTAGTCCTTTGACTTTCACTTGTTCACATACGCGTAGAATAGCCATGGCACCAGAACTATGTCCGATTAATATATCATTCTACAAGCAAAGATGCAGTTATACACAATTCATGTCATAACGGATTTTATTTGACTCACTTCTGCTACACCTAAATTGTCTAATATGAATGGTATCCATATGGAATCTTTTGCTTCTTTCTCATCCGGGAATGTTGGCGCAATAGCATCAAAACCTATTTTCACTAATTCTGCTTGTAACCATTTATACCAATGTCGATTAATAATCCCAGGTGTCATCGCACTACCATGCACGATTATTACTCGCTGTTTTGATTGCTGATTCTATAAAGAATTCCAATCAATTGAAATAATGCTTCACGAAAATTCAAATTCTTTATGAATGTGAATCCAAGGGTAATTCATCTCGACAAACGATAATAGTAGTTGAATTTTTAGAAAAATCTTCGTTTTTATAACTACTCAGTAAGATTGTAACGGATGTTTGTAGCTGTATATGACTCTATTAGAGTGAAAAAGTATTAATATGATTCGGGTTATTAGATTTCGTTTGAGTGAATATGTATATCATTTCTATAGCATCCATTCGCGACTACTATTATGCGGTGTTTTCACTCGATTTTAAGAACAAGGATGTGCATTTTCCTGAATATACCTAGGAGAAACGAGTAGTTGTTTGCCGTCGTTACGCCATCAAACCCAGCAAAAAAGTCAAATCTATGTTTATTCTTTGATGCTTTTACGGAGGACTTCCTAACATAAATGGTAAATTTATTCTTTGACAATAAATAAACATTTAATAAAAAAAAAAAAGAGAAATGCTCTATTTGATTGAGTTTTGCATTGAGCAATGTAGTATGTTAGGTGTGAGTGTTTTTTTTGTGTATATAGCTATATACGATAACAGATAATTCTAGACGTTCATAAGATCCATCATCGATAAAACAGAGGATATGATAAGTCCGCAAGTGTATGCATGGTAAGACCATGTTTGAAATATCTTATTAAAAAAAACTAAGGGCGTCGTTGGCTTTGGATGAGTGAAATGTATGATATCTTTTATGGATAGAAAGAGCTCTCTCCCTATCTCAATAGCCGGTTACGAATCAGAACATGAAAGTCAATCAGTCTTAGATATATATGAAATGTGATCGCTCATTCTTTTCATCTTCTTGTACTTAATGCTTTTCGTTTATTCTCCATTGATTTGTACCGACACTCAGGAAAATGATGCCTTTTTATGATTGAAGCTAGCTCTAGACTACCACTTTACCGTAAAAAACGAAACAAATGAGAACGCATACATAGCTTCTTTTATTATTCTTTTATACAAGTAGATATGTTAGGAAGAAAAGTGGCAATGTCACAGAGCAGATTTGCTAAATCCTTAGTCATATGTCTCAAAAAACAATCGAAAAAGTTATTTTTATTGAAAATCATGTCGAACCGTACACAGCAATCGGTCACGCAACTCTATCTTAGTATGTATGAGTCCAATTGCTTTAGAAGTTGAAGTGCTCGGTGTGAAAACTAGCCTTTTTGGGATGAGCCTGTATTTTAAAAAAAATTATCGGTTTCATCTTTTCGTACCAGTTTATTGATTGACTCAGACTTGCTGGAACCAGACGCTTCGGTCATATGAGACATGAAGATGATAAACCAAGATCGAATCAAGGTCAACTATGCTAGAAAAGAAGAACAACTAGCAGATAGAAGACGATTTAGACATAATGTGACAGAATGATTGGGAAGAATTTGGAGAGAAGCTGGGGTAAAATAAGTCTGACAGCATTAAAGAGATGTTTTTATTCCTGAAGAAAAAAAGATACAAACTTCGCCTTGTATAACTCGAAAGAGGGTTTTTTTTCTGATGAATGGTAGTATTGTAAAAGTAAAAATCAAATCCAATATTATCTTCAGAATTTCGTTTTCAAAATGTTTATCGAGGAAGTTGCTTGATTGCTCAACTATTAAACCAATGAAACTCAACATGTTTGCATGCCCCCTATGTTCGCTTCTCACCTCGATTATAGTGGCTGACAAAATCGTACTAGATTGAGTTGATGTCGATGTAAAATCAGATTCATTTCTGAAAGAACTATCTACACGTTAGAAAAAGATTTCGACTCTCTCTGCTAGTTATTACAGGTGCTTACTGTCATTTACTTTGTTCATAATCATCGAATCTATATAGTAAAAGCCATGATTATCATACAGAGAAAAATGCATATTTTTTATGTTCTGTCGTGTACTTCAATTTTTTGTCTCTTCTTTCTTTCGTTTACCAAGCTTTCGTCTTTCGTGATCATGAGATTTATTGTTTTCGTTCTAATCGTAAGTATAGTGATGCGAAGAAAGACAAAATACAAAGGAAGTTATCCACAGTCAATGAAAGAACGAAAAAAGTAGGAAGTGCTGATACGATTTCTACACATGACTGTTTACAAAGTCATCATCACTGTAGCAGATTAAAAGAGCAATCAAAAAGTCATTCTTCACACCACTGCTAGAGAATGTGTGGAATATCTTTGATAACTACTCTAGACTTACTTTTCTAAATTTCGCTTTCACAGTTGACTATTTGTCTCCTTTTGGAAATATAAATACAAGTTTTAGAAACGAACAATCTCTACCATGTAATTTAGATATTCTTTGATCTTTACTTTCACTCATAGCATACTTCAAATACACTCTTATTTATTCATCAAGAGTCACATAGTTATATCGATCAGATACAATCATAAATAAGTTCTCTCTTATTTTTAATTCTTTGTCTTCATTTTAGATTTTTTTTTATTGATCAATTCGATAGAAATTTTCACTCTTTGGGTTACGCTTTGTAAGTATATATTTGTATTTTCCTTTAGGTTTTATAATTTTTATAGATGAATATGCACATATGATTTAAGATTAAAGGCTCTCCTTAAAAACAAGCAAAGTGAGAGAAAAAAAATGAGGACTGAAATGAGCTATAACCTTAGTCAAACAATGAGGCAGTAAAATCTCACAAGATCGAAACTCTAATCTTGTATGATCTGGCACGATCAGACGAAAGTTGTACAAAAGAATTGAAGTCTCAGAAGTATTACGCTTAGTTATATTGTAAGATTTTTGAAACTAAGACTTTTTTTGTTACAATGTCATCTGACCTTACATCTACTTTTTTGGCCTAGATTGACATATAAAAACTTTTAAGCTCATGTGCAACTATCGTACAATGTTGTTTGATTTTGAGCGATTTCAAAATAAGTTCTCGTATGATATTATAAGAAATGTATAAGATTTGATAGATGAATCATTTCACATAGGCTCGCTGTACTATTGAAGATATCGATTCATCTACAGAACCCAGTTCTTTAATTTCTTCAAAACAAATCAATATTTGAAGTGTAACCAAATAAATATGAATCAAAGACATGTACTACCCACCATCATATCTGGTTGCTTCCGCGAGATCTGTTCGTACTACCACAACAAGTACGACTCATTCTTTTGGCAACCGCACTTTGATCATACTAAGTGTTAGAGTCTACTACTAGCAATTCTTTTCAAAAGGGGTATACAGCAAATGCTGAAAAGCTGAGAAAATCGATTTGGTCGTTGATAGACTCTTTTTTTTATTAGAGATTGTTTATTGTATTATTTTATTTTTAGACTTATTTCTTAAACTCATGTATTAAATCGTAAGTAGTTTCGATTAAAATTTATTCTAAGAACAAATCGATCTAAGTCAAAACTTAGTGAATTTATATGTGACAAACATAGTATTTAAACTTAATGACACGAATAGGTTAAGTTTAAACCGAGCATTCTATATTTATTTATATAAATGTGTGTGTCTGATTATATCTTGCTTAATGCAATATTCTTTCGTGATGTTTTTATCTTTACATAGTTTTTAACACACGAATGTTCAAAAAAATGCAACACTTTTTTAAAGAAATATTATAGCCACGCAAATATGCGCAAAGCAATTAACTCAGTTTAAGTTAGGTACAACCGCATTTTGTTGAATAACGAGGGTATAGATAGATGTGCTACTTGTGAGAAAAGCTTTCTAGTGTTGACCATTTCTGTTTTGGTCTTCCGCGTGGTGCACGTCTCTAATGTGTACTAATAATGGATAAGTGAAAGATCAAACACGAACAATAATTTCTACATCGAATAAAATCGAAAATTTTTAGTGTGCATCTAGTTCTGATAGATTTGCCAATTCACTTGCATATGTCCTTGTTAAATTCACTTTTCTCATTATTTTTTTATTGTTCTTACAAAGTAATTTGAGATCATAATTTCAACTTTTGCATTTAAGATTTCAAGATTGAAGTAACAAAAACGTCAAACTCAAAAAGTTTTCTTCAATGACACGTTATCTAAAATTTTGTCTTTCGTATTTTGAAAATGAAAAGAAAGAAAAAAAAAAGAAAAGAATTATTCAAGTTCATTCTGTATAACGGCCAATGTTCGATCAATAAGACTTCGACCACCACAATTTTGACTAATACGAATATTTTCAAGTAATGGTTTATATTCATGTAATTGTTCTTCTGTAAGAAAATTATCTAAATACAAAATAACATTTTTTTAACTAATAAAAAAAACAATGAAACAATATAATCTTTACTTTGTTTTTTAATCAAATGAATTAATTGAAGAATATTATTAATTATTTCTGGATATTGAATTTCTTGTTTTAAAAATTCTTTTATATTTTCATGACAATTTGCTTCTTTTAATTTCTCACAAATAAATGCTAAAAAAAAATTATATAAATAAAAACAAATATATATAACTAACCATTAGCTAACATAAAAATAATGTTCAGTGCAATAAGTGCTTCATTTTGAATAATGCCACGATTTGTTTGTACATCACATGAAGCTAATGTTGAAGTAATAAGTGGAAATACATCATTTCGTGCAAGTGCTTCAATAGCTTGAATTGTTTTTAATGCAATTGGTAATAAAAATAAAACACGACGAGATTCAACTAAAAGTTTGATTTTTCTTTTAAATCATTTCGATTTGAAAACATAAAACTTACATTGTAAACCTGTATGTATAGCATTACTATTAAGAACAATTTGTTTTAGTATTTGATCATCTATAATGGCTAATTTTGATGTTTCTTTGGCATCACGAAGAAGAAAACGAATAACACCAGTTGCTTAAAAAGAAATCAATTTATTGATATATTTTATTAATAAACACTAATATCTTTATGCGAGACTCAAACGAGTTTAATCAGCACATCACATATATTCAATACAATGTAGTTCAGCTGCTATCGTAAAGAGAGTTATTTCTTCGGTCCATAGAGAATAACAAAGTTAAAGATTGATCTCGAGCTATATCATTTCTGTATTCTTATGTCTATTTTTGATGATATGTAGTCAAATAAATCATATTATTAAAAGATACAAACATCTGATAAAAACGTAACGAGACAACGAAGAAAAACTTAAGAAATCGGGGAAGGGCGGAAAAGAAAATATTCTACTCGTTTCAACCACTGATCTTTACCTTTATAAGCTATTTCACCACCAAAATTTGTAATAAATATATACGGAATAACACTATCAAGAACATGACTATCGACTAATAAAGGTCGATTAGTAGCTAAAACGAAAAAAAAGAAAATCAAGATTAAGATTTTGATGTTAATTACTTGGAACAGCGAGATTTCTTAGTGCACCTAAAATTCCATGTGCAGCTTTTGCTTGTTCATCTGTCATTAATTCAAATTTATTTTGAAATTGTGTTGAAAAATATTTTAATTGTTCAACTAATTTTATATCAGGTTTACGTTTATCTGATAATATACTTATTGCTGATTGATCATTTCGTGTTAAATTTGTTATTATTAATGCACCAGTCATTTTTAATTGTAAATTTGAATTTTCTAACCATGATATACCGTATTCAAGTAAATCATATTTATTCGATGTTAATAAATGATCAATTGATTTATCTAAATAATAAAGTTAAGTGAATTATTATAAAAATTTTCAAAAAATATATAAACCTGTTGTTATAAGAACCACAAGTAAATAACATGCTTCACGAAGAAATTCTTCATCTTGTCCAGCATATTGTTCACATAAATTTATTAATTTATAATAAAATAATGATGAACATAATTCTTCTTTTACACCATCTGAATAGGAGAGAGAAATGTAGTTTTTTGGTTTAAGTAAAAAAAAAAAAACAAACAAACCTTCTTCACATGCTTCGAGTAAATACGGTAAAATAACAATACGATTATCATATATATTTGATTCAGTTATTTGATTTCCAATTTCAGATAATAAATGACTCGAAATAAGTTTTTCACATTCTAAATTCGACAAAATATTGAGTTTTAATATACTCAATGAATTTTATAAAGAAAAACTCTGTTGTTTAATTTTCTATGATAGAGTGAAGAATATATGCAAAAGTTTCGTTTTCTTTATCGTTAGGATAATGAATTATTTTTATATCAAATTGTTATCTAAGAAATAATATAGGTATATTTTTGTTAAGGATTTCTTAGTTTTAACAACGATATGGTTTCAAAAATGAGTTCGACACTTGATATTATCCTTTTTATTACTCTTTTAGATGAGTGTATGGGAAAATTATATTCATACTTGTATCATGATCGATCATATTAGCACACATTGAAAATAAAAATAAGATTATTTTTGATTCAGATAAATATGGTATATAAAGAAGAAATATTTGAAATAAATTTTCTTTCAATATTGATTCGGCAACTTTTTCTAAATTGAAAACAAAAAAAAAAGGCACATATAAAATTTACTTTATTAATCATATTTTACCATTTGAATTAATAATATTATGTAATGCACCTAATGTCATCATTCGTAATTGTCCATTTTCATTTTCATTTGTTTCACATGAATATCGACATACATCAAATAAAGTATCTATACCAATGATATTAAATACTGAATCACAACCATCAGCTAAATGAAAAATTTATTGAATATAAAGCAAAATGTTTTGAATGAAAAATCTTCAAACCATTTTCATAACACATATTTCCTATTGCACGACATGATTCAATTTTTTCTTGAATAGTACCAGATTGTAAAGGATCTTTTAATGAAGATATAAAATCTAATTTTACACATTCATATCGTTGAGATTCTAAAATCAATGAATGATAACAAACCAAAAATTATCAAATAAATTAATATATATATATATATTTTTTTTTTATTGTACCATCTTTACAAATTTCAGCTAAAAGTCGAATCACTTTATGTCGATAATCGATTTTTTGATTAATTAAATTTTTTAATATATTTTTATCAATTTCTGATCTCAATTGAACAATTGATGTTTCTGTCTCGTTAGCTAAATAATACAATAGAGAAAATGTTTTTACATTTTAAAAAAATGTGAACTTCAATTATTTTTTACCATTTTGGGATGTTTGATGTTGACTATCGATTATTTTTTTAAGAAATGTATCAATATCATTATTTGTATACATATTTACGATAAACCTGTAAAAAAAAAAAAGAAAAAAACTTTTCAAAAATTACTGTCATCTAACAAGAAATTTAATCATTGGTTGAATTTTTTCTGCAATCAGAATGAAACGCCACTTGTTCTTCTTGTTACTTTCGTGTTCATAGCATTGTTTCTAATGCTTACAATAGAAAGACTGAATTTGTTTTTTGGTGTTGATAATAATTTAAGTGGCTGTTCTCATGTTCAATAGATTCAAATCAACAAATGGAAGAAAAATGAATATAATCAAGTAATATTTCATTCCTAGTTTTAAGTTATATTAATTTAATAGAATAAAATGAATGAAATTACAATACTGTTCATTTGTTTTTTCAGTAGCTGTAAAATCAACATACCTTAGAAGCATTTACACAATCCACGTGTATGATTGAGTACAAAAACTGAGTTTATATAGATTATACAAATAGCTGAGAAATAAGATGGTGGAAAAATATTTAACAACAATGTATTGTTGATTTTTTCTATCATTTTAAGTACTTAGCTGGAATTCATATAGTGATTTTAACAGTCAGTGAAGTTTTCTAATTAATGTATTCTATATCAAGATTTCTTAGATCAACTATGACAACAAGTTTTCTGAAAAATTCGACACTAGTTTTTAGGTCTTCGAAGACTTTGACAGAACTAATTTTTAACAATGTCATTTTTATAGAGCCCAAAGTTCTGACGAAAATGCTCTGACGCCGTATTTTCTACAACCTTCATGTCAAACGCTACAAGTATCGTAAAAAAACACCTTTTTTTTTACAGTTCTTGTGACGTTTATAAGTTTTTAAGGAAAAGTTGTTCAAAATGCAACGACTCCTCATTTTTTTTCTCTTTAGAATTGTGTGCTCTTTTAAGTGATTCCGATAAAGTTTTCTGAGATCTGAAAACTAGCGTATCTGATCTTTTAGAAACATTGCCATCATAATTCATTCATAAAACTCTGGTATAGAATGCATTAGAGAAAAGAACCTCATTGCCTACTAATGTCACTACCTGAATTTGAGCTAATGGCTTTAAATTATATCAAAAAATAAAAATTGTTAGTATTAAAATTTTTCCTACCACCTTGTTAATAACGCTTGTCTTTCGTCGTGAATTTTAGTAATAGTTCGGAATACCAGAAATATTTTTCAGATTTATTTAGGAAATATTTTTCAGACATATTTGAACAAAATGATATTCTTTCATGAATTACACAAGTTTGATGCATTTTAATGGCATTTGATTTTCAACGGGTTTTATTATTAAGTGTAACACTTTAAAATCCAGTACAGTTTAGTAATAAGACGTATGATTTTAATCAACAATCTTTGAATAGTATTTCAATTAAAGTTTAGAGAAGAATATTGAGAGCTATGAAAATTCACTCAGAACTCGTTTTTAAATTTAGTTTTATCATAATCATCAAAAAAGGAAGTTTGAAGATGTGAAGACTTAAAAAGAAACCTTTTTATCATATATTTCAAAATTAGGACAGCCAATTAAAAATTTCGATGTTTTTAATTAAAACTTTAATGTATAAATCGAAAACAATATTGTCATTAATATTGAGAAAATTCTTTACTAGATGAAATCTTAAATTTTGTGTTTTTTATTTTTAGGAAATTTTTCTCGTAGTTGAAAATAACGCTTTCAGAAGAAAAATGCTTCCTGGAAAAAATTATTCAATCATTCTCATATAAAAATGAATTATTTATTCATTTTGATTGATATTATTGATAACTTCGTCGGTACAAAATTTCATTGAACATACGAATCATTTGATTAATATTGCTATGAATGGAAATTATCAATTCATCATTTTACATTAAGTCAAACTCAAAAAAAAATATGGATATCATGTGCGATCAGGTGTTTTCATGACCACTACTAATTGAAACATTATAGATTGAATCTTGTTTTTTTTATTTTCATATCTGTAAATAAAAGAAAATTTTTAAATGAAATTTTCATTGGCATAACAACAATGAGTTCGATTTTTTCTTTAAAAATTGATTTTCTTTTTTCTAGATGTCGACCATAGTTTCTCATAGTAAAGTTGTTCAAGTATGTAATGTATCAACAACATGTCAACGAGATCAATTAAAGGCATTATTTGCTTTTTTTGGCCGAATTGATGATGTTCAACTGTATCCCGACAGGTATGTAATTTGAATAAAGCAAACAAATCCTTCAATAATGAATATAGAATTCTAAACTTTTGTTTGGTGATCAAAACTATACAATGAAAGTATTCTAATATATATGCTAAAAGAATTTAGATTCCTATTGAAATTTTTTAATTAAGCTATTGAACTTTCAATATGTCTATTTTTGTTTTTACAGATTTCAGGTTTTCGAAAATTTTGTATTTTTGATAGAGAACTCAAGTAGAGTAACTTCTGTTAAAAAAACTTAGAAGTTTTGAACAAAATTTCTTCAATCTATGAATGTTTCAAAAAATATCTGTTGTATATAGTATCCATAGAAAAGACTCAATAATTTGAAAGTTTCATGTGCCAAAGAAACTTTGTTCAAAACTTCTAAATTCTTTCATTGAAGCTAATCTAGTTGAGGTGTGTACATACACAAAGTTTCAGATGAAAATTCGAACATAAGAGTTTCCTGAAAATCTGTGACGTGCAGAAAATAAAACATTAAAAATTCAATAGCGGCTTATCCATATCCTTTCAAAGTTCTTATTAGAACACTATGCAGTATAGATAGGTAAAAAATTATTAAAATCGAAATCAGTCTTACAATAAAATGAAAAATGTCGTATAATTTGTTGATTTGAAACACATCACAGAAAAACGATCGTTTCTTTTTTTTTATCTATCAAAAACTCGTGAATTTAAGAATCATTTTATTGCTATTTCCAATAGTTAACTTCCACACGTTCGTTCATTTCAAAAAGTATTCCATAGTTCTAAATGACTTAGATGCAAATAACTTTTTCTTTTCATAGTGATACATTAACATCAACAATAAATGCAAAAGTTGGTTATGTCAAATATGAACGTAATGATAGTGTTCATGCCGCATTAAATATGACAAATACAATATTTATTGATAAACCATTAATAGTTGCACAAGTTTTTGAAAATAGTGTACCAGATGAAACAGATGCAATGATATATTGTGCACCACTTAATCCAAATATAACATTACTTAGTGGTGGACCAACATGGCCAAGTACAGTTATTAATCGACTTGTTGGCCAACCACATAATCCTTCATATATTGAAACAGTTGATCCGGAATTAACTGATAGAAATTTACCATCATATCCACCATTACCAGGAACATTAGATGTTACAAAAGTTGAAGAAATTCGACGTACAGTTTATTTATCAAATTTAGATAAAAATGTAAGTCGATTAATATCTTATATTTTTTTGTAATAATTATTTCAATTAGATTGGTTTGGATATTTTACATGAATTTTTATCACAAATTGGTGAAATACGATTTATTCGAGCGGCTTATATTGATGAAAATGCTGAAACACGTGGTGCTTATGTTGAATTTAGTGAACAACCATCAATTCCAAAAGTTCTCTCAATAAATGGTTTTCAATTTTTTGGACGACCATTACTGTATGTAAAAATTTTAAAACATCGGAATAAATATAAATTAAATTTTTAGAGTTAATCATGCAACGTCATGTATAATCAAACCAGCAACTGTTCGTGGATTGAGAAGTGGTAGGATAAAACAGATTTATTCTTTTTATTTGAACAAAAGAACTTTTGGTTTTTAGATGAAGAAGATATGCCATTTAGTCGATCACGTTCTCGAAGGTTTGTTTTCTTTTTTATTTAAACCTTATCGTTGAAACAAACATTATGGAAAAGCAAGATAACCAAATTTCTCTTGATGATCTATACGAATGATTTTCATTTCAGTGACTATTCTTTTCGTTCAATTTTTGAATATACACCATATATAGATACTGTTGGTATCACCTCAAAAGATTACCGAATTCCTTCGAAATGCTAATTGACCGTTTTTCTTAAATTATTTTTGAACACCCTTTTTGTTTATTTTTAGCGCATCAGCTCGTAAAGATTCTCCAGTTGGTGAGGAAAGTGATAATCATCGTGAAAATGGTCGTCGTTCATCGCGTTCACGACATCGTTCATCATCAAGATCGAAATCGCGTAAAAAATCTTCAAAATCAGCTCGATCACCTAAACGTCGTTCAAGGTAATTTTTTTCTTGTAATAAATATATCAATATTTTTTTGTTTTTTTCATTATAAATAGATCAAGAAAACGTAGTCGATCAAGATCATCACGCGATCGAAAACGTCGTTCACGTTCTCGTGATCATCATCGTAGGAAAAAGGATTCACGTAAACGTTCACGTTCACGTTCGCGTTCAAAAGGACGTCATCGTCGTAGTGAAAGTAGTCGAAAAGAAAAAAAGTCTCGACATTGATTACAATTTATATATTAATTCATAACTGTCTAATTTCTTTCTTTTTCTTTTCCTTGATGTTATATGTATTTGTGTGTAATTCTCATACACTTAAAAAAAAAACGTATTAAGAAAAAAAAAACATTAGACAAACTTAAAATTCTTGTTTGATTTTGTAATGAATTCTGTTTTGTTGTTATTAATTCAAGAAAAAAAGAGGAAAATATTTTTGATTTTTTTTAACACTGGAAACAATTTACACTGATATACTAATTTGAGATACTTGAAAATTCATACGGAAAAATTTTTTCTTATGATAAATTCCCTAAAAGTCAGGTGTTTTAATCGTTCAACCGTTTTGAAAATGTCTGTTGTGATAGATTCTTAGGGATTCTGAAAGTCATTTAAAAGAGTTATTAATATCCATCAGAAGTATACGAAGCATCGGGAAATGCAGACTTCCAAAACCAATAAATTTTGAGAGTGATATAGAGAAACAGATTAAAATAAAATTCTAAGAAAAAATAGATGTTTGACCGATTTTTTGTTGCCTGAATTAGGGGTGCAACAAATCTTGAATAGATGTGGGATTTGGCACCAAATCTTTGAGATTTGGACTTGGATTTGGATTTGGTTTCTGGATTTGGGTATGGTTCGGATTTAGTTCCTAGATGTCGATTTCATCTAGATTTGAATCTCAGGATTGCTGCTATCGCTTTGTTTGGCTGAGATTTGGGATTCAGAATTGGTGATATGCTTGAAATTTGGGATTTGGATTTGGACTTGGGATTTGGTTTCAATCTAACATGACTCCAACTTTGTAGTCTTCTTAAATTGAAACCAAATCTCAACCTCCAAATCCAAATCCCAACCTGCTATACACCAAATCTCAAATCCAAATCCCAAAACCCAAATCTATACCAAATCCAATCCCTTTCATATTAATTTAGAAGACTTGGGATTCTTTTCTCCCTTCTGGGACATTATTTTACAAAGCCTCGTCATATTTGGGTAATTTAAGACCAAACCCAAACCCAAATCCAAATTCAAATCCCAGTCTAGAACAAACCCAAATCTTTTTGTACCAAATCCCAAGGTTTTGGGTTTGTTGCACCCATAGCCTGAATGAAGAACATTTTGAATTTCATTCGAAGTTATTGCAAGAAACTCAAAAAGTTTTTTCCTCTGGACACAGACTCATTAAAAGAGATCTTATTTCCATAGAGCATAGACAAATCGCGAAGTACAGAAGTTTTTTTTTTTCCTTATTCTATAAAAATCAATCTAGTAGATATTAAACTCACTACTGTTATTCCATTATAGAGGCCTTTCATCAGGGATGTAGCCAGGGGGTGCACAGGATACCCGGGTACCCTGCCTTCGTTGGCCAAAAAACGCCTGGAGGAGAGTACGGGTAAAAAATCTTTTTGAGAAATAAAAATTTATTTTGCTACTGGTGTGCACCCTCCCCCCAAATAATGAGTCGGTATTCCCCTTGGAAAATTTCTGGCTACGCCATTACCTCTCATCTTTATTGTGAAATGAATTATAAAAGTAAATATGCTTCATTTTCAAAATATTGAATAGTGAATCCAATAGTTTAATATTTGTGCGTAGACAATGACGGTTTTTAAACTAACTTTTTCTCGGATTTATTTATATTAGAGTTTCAACTCAAAAATAAGAATTTAATAATTATTGTTCCAAGTAGGGAATTATAAGATCCCTAAGAATAATCACTCATTCCTTCCGAAAACTATTGTCTCGTTTAACGAGATACTGAAACTGATACTTAAAAATATTTTATATGACTAGCAAATCGTTCGTATTGAATCATTTTGAACCTTACTACTTGTGAAATTAAAAATCTATGTTCCGTACTATAACTCCAATAGATTAATATATAATTTAATGGATTCTTCTAATGGTATAGAAACATCATCGACCAATATAACTATGGCAAAATAATAGATCGTATGTATTTTTCCACACGATATTAGTGATTTGTACGCTTTCTATTGTATGATTATCAAATAGTGACGAAGCCACGGGATGACTGGAAAGGGCTCACGGGAAAACCTCTCTAGACGTTAAATCGCTAGACGATGTTCTTGATGAGTACTAATGAGTGATAGAAAAATCTAGAACGACTTGACTTTCCAAGCCTCCATTCTTGAGATAACAATATATTACTGAGTTTTTCAACAAAAAGCTGTGATCCCTCTCTAGCTACATGGAAGATGAATTTTCGGATTTCGACTGCAAATCTTGGACAAACGAAGTTCAAGTTGTCGTATTTAATAAAAGCTACTTCTAAAAAAAATCAAAAACCGATGTTGTTTTGTTTCCTTCTTAAAATATTAAGAAAACAATGGGTAGAAGTGGACAAAAATGGTGATATAACTATATGATTTTCATGTTCATATCAACCAATATTTACTTCATTATTCCGTAGCATCTCAACTGTTCAAGCTGAAACTTTTGTGAAACACGATCTAAAAGGAATGTTGCAGTATATAGAGGTAGAAATTTGGACTCCCCACTCCTTCCCCACAGACATCACAGACCGTGACAGACATTTTATTAATTAGTTAGTTAATAACTAATTAATACCTCATTAATTAGAGTTAGTGGCTGCTTAATTAAGTAGTTAATTAATTAATTAACGACTAGTTTGGGGCTCATTATTCGCCTCATAATTAAGAATTAGTTGATAATAGAATACCCCTCACAGACGATGACCAACACGTCTAATATGTTCATAAACACTTCGAGAAGCAATCATTGAGTATACAAAACTGTTGATATAAGATCAAAGATCACGCATCAATAATGTTTTATTATAATGTATAAACTAATTTTTGATCCCAGCTTTGAAGGAATGGGTAAAACAATATTTTAGAAATGTGCTCCGAAATAGATAAATTTAAAAAATTCCCCTGCAATTAGGAAAAGCAGCTAGATCGTGTTTCACATGTTAATCCCGCAAGGATTACGCTAACAGCTTTTTACCATAGAGAAACTGCAGGACAGATAATCGATTAAAATGGTTTTCACTTAGAAATGTTTCAATATGAGAAAATTTATACGAGTCATCCTTCTATGTATGAGTCATGCATTTACGATACAAGCGAGAATATTAATAGTTTGTGTGAGAAAAGATGTGAGTTCTTGAGGTATCATCTTATTTTGTAGTTAAACGATTTTTCTTGAAATTGTACATTAAGTAAATTATGAATGGAGAAAAACATAGGATGACTCGACAACGACTCTTATGTGCCCTTACCCTCTACATCTGTAAAGCGAAAACACTAGAAAATTTACAACTTGTACAGTTAACTAATGTCATAAAGAACTTTATGCAAAATTTAAAGTCGAAATCCGAAAGTTAATCTCCCATGTAACTAGAGTGGGATCACCGCTTTTTATTGAAAAACCCAGTAAAATATCGATATCTCAAAAACGAAGACATAGTATCACAAACCATTTTAGAGTTTCCTATTATTCATTAGCACTCATCAAGTGAACACCGTATTAATTGAACAGTGATTTGGTACTTGAATAGATTTCCTCATCATCTCTGCAGCAACTTTTAAACTTTCTCTACAAATGAAACAATTCTATACTACAGGTGAGGAAAATATCTGCTTTTCAGCTTCAAACAAGCGCTGATCCCTTTCTCCAAGCTTTTTTTGGCTCCACCGCTATTATTGAAATTCCCTTGCTTGCTTTGTTATTTATTTTTTTGTTTTATTACTTATAAACTCTAAAGATTAAATACGTTTTTTAGATATGCAATGATTTACTTTTCTCGTACAATTGTTTTGGCTGCTCATCCAAATGTGAAATGGCTATCTGGTCTTCTAAAACAACCATGGCGTTGTTTTCGTGGATTAGATACTTCACCAACATCTGTTATGAGAAATGCTCAAGTTCAAACAATTTATACTGAAACAATAAATGTTATTAACCAAGGCCGTTTAGAAGTCCGATGTCCATTTAATCTCTATGTAACACCAATACATCAGAAAGATTTTCCAAGACTTGATAAAGCTTTTTTTACTATTTACGGTATTGATTTAATTTAAAAAGTAAAAGGAATCTTTTACATGAAGATATTGATAGGTGATAGTGGTTTTCAATTTTCCAAAGAAGAATGGAATACATTATTTAAATTTTCAAGTGTATACAATCCAGACAATCGACATCTTCGTATCGATGGACAATTTACTCAATTAGGTAAATGATTTTTGTTTTTTGAAAAATGTCAAGATTTTATGCTTTTAATTAATTTTAAGGTGCAAAAAAATTGAGTGATCAAGCTCATACTCTTGAAGTTTATTGTCAAATTCCTCCTCATTATGGTCAGTAATTTTGTTTTTATGAATTATTAAAAAAAAATCTTTTAATTTGTTATTCAGAACTTGATGTTGTTTGTACAGACAACAATAATGTTAATGTTGAATATCTTCATTGTCCTCGAGTACATGTAAAAAAATACTAATGGATATTATTTTTCATATTTTTTGTTTCATATTTCTAGATTCAAACAAAACAAGGCGAATGTTCATTAAAAAATATTGTTGTTAGTGAAAAAATTGAAATATAGTTAATACTAGCGTCAGCCCGTGCATATTGCACGGCTGTTTTCTCCTTTAACATATGACCTCAGACATTTAACTTTTCATCCGGTAACAAAACTACGCACACTCGATATTATGTATATAGATAGATAGCTACGGCCTCATACTCTTATATCGCACATATCTTTATAGTCCATGTAGCCTTCGCCCTTACAGCCTTATATCTCTTGTAGCTCTTGCAGCCTTATATCCTTATTGCCTTCCCCCTTATTACCTTACTCCCTTCAATACCTATGGGTACCTCCATACAATAGCCCTTGAGGACCTATGGGTTCCCCCATAGGATAGCTCTTGAAGACCTACGGGTACCCCCATAGAACGGCCCTTGAGGACTTATGAGTCCCCGATAAGTAGTTCTTGGGACTTCCCCTTATAGCT